GAGAATGTAAAAAAGGGAAAAAAAAGGGCGTTCTTTTTTTTTTTTTTTTTTTTTTTTTTAAGTTATCGCAGTATTCAGTAACACATGCATTGAAAATAAGAATGAGATCTTGAAAATCTGATTTGCTATTGCAATTCTCCATTCTCTTCTCACTGAGGTTCCCTTTTACTGGGAAAATACTTAAGCCAGAGGACTGCTAGTAGTTGTAGTGTTGTGTCTGCTGACTTACAGTTTCATTCGATACCTGTCATGTAAATCATGGTCCTGCTGGCTTTTGTCCAGATCCCCACTGTCACAGAATGGAGTCGGGATTCTGTCTAAGCTTCCACCATCTTTTCCCTCAAGCTGACATTCCATACACTCAAATTAATCTCAATCCAATACAGTTGTCCTCTCTTCCCCACAACAGAATTGTCAAAGATGTTTAATAGCAGAACAACAACTTAGGAAGCATTATTATTTAAAGAAACCTAAGAATGGGTCTCTTCTATTATTAATTTCTTTTCCTTGTGCATCTAATACCTCCCAGCTCTGAGAGGGAGAGAACTTTCTGAGAATTATGTTTTGCATCTCATGAGAACATGATTAATAACAGCAGCCTGACTTTCTCAGCAGTACTGGCTTGCTACCTCTATCAATGAACTACGTTGCTGTCCATTCTTAAGAAAGTTTTTAATCTTCCTGTAAAAGTTCTTGTCCAAACTAACTGGAATAAATGTTGAGTGAATGAATTCATGTAGCGATGCAAGAAATGCTTTCCTGAAGTCCAAATAGGCATCTGAATGACCTTCATCCTGCATTTTGTAATTAAGTCCAAAAGTAGTGATGTTTAGAAAAAGGATTTTTTTCTCTATATATAAATTTTTTGCAGTTAGCAACTGTGAGAAATGAGTGGAAAGCATAGAGTGAATTATGAACTTGACTTAATCTTTTATCTCCTGGGAAGAATCAATAATTTAGCAGTGTATACTGGAATAATTGATAGGAAGTGTCTACAAAGCCACTAGATATGAAAAGATTTGGACCATTAAAAGAACTGAGCTAAGGGGTGACTTTTGATATTGTGAAACAGAAATAATCATGGAATGTGAATCAAAGCAGATAAATTCTGCCTTTGTTTATATGATATTGTATATTTTAGCTAAATAAAAATAAGCCAGGCTAAGTAAGGGCAATATTTGAGTATGCATTTTAAGTTTGCCATCCAACATTTGTTTTAGCATAAAGATTTTTGGAACTATTATAGAGAAAATTATTTTGAACTCTTGTATACGTATATAGAAAAACATACACTAAATTATGGTTGCTATGTTCTACTTGCTTGGTCTCTTTGCTTCTCCTGTGCACATCGTTTATGGGCTTTAACCCTGTGTGGATGTACTTTGCCATACTTTGGAGAGAGAAGATTACTCAATTACTTTACAACCGAGTAGTTAATTCCAATTTCCTTAGCAGGCCAGTGGGTTTTTTCCCTTCCTAGGTAAACAGAAACAACTATAAATGAATGAACTTGTGATGGGTTTGAATTGACTTCCCTTGCTGCCAGTTATCACGCAAAATTGAAATCATATTGCCTCTTTGCTAATTTAGATATCTCCATTTGTATTTGGTTTTCAGGCAATCTTTAATCACTACACATAGATATTTAGATTTTTCTTTAGTTAACAAATAGTGGTTTTTACAATTATCTAATCACTGTAGTTCTCATCACACTTGGATTTTCCAGAGAAGTATTAGCTCAAACTGAGAATATATTTCATGTATGCTAATTGGTCTTCCTGTTAGTGTTTTAAGAGCCTTCAAAACAGCATTTTTGAATTCCAGTGTCTCGCTGAATTACCTGTGCAATTTCCAGCAATCAGTGTCAGAGGATTGCATGCCAGTGGTAAAAATAGAGGGAAGATTACTGATACAGTTTTAGTCTGGGTTAAACAGGCACAACAGTAACTGATTTTACAACACATTTCTTGTATTTGCATCAAGCTGTACAATAAACAGCAGTGATCTCCTATTTTGTAGTCAATATATTGTACAAAATGCTGTTTATTGTATTAGAGTTGTGTTAAGAGGACCCACTCTCAGTGTAAAAGCAGAAAAGAAGTAGATATAGAATGCTTGCTTTCTGTGACTAAGACAGTTTCTTTTTTTTGAAGGATGGGCTTTTTGTAAAATTACCTCTGCTGGCCAACATACTATCAGTTGTTTGTCATCTACCAGGCTCTCATAGGACGCGAGTGCTGGATAAGAAAAACTTCCAAAGACAAGGGCAAGTGTGATCCAAGGGAGAATGTGGCTTGGGTCAGGGGTCAGGTTTGTGTGTAGGGACTCAGTTCCCGATAGCCCTCTTGATTCGGTAGCAGCGGGATCTTTGAGCTAGATATATGAGGGACCTTTGGGGTACGTGAGTTTTATATCTTAGGTAGCAGTGTATTTTTTGTGGTGAATTAATCTGTACAAGGGAGCTAAACTCACTTGGATGTGGTCCTCTTTTATTTTGGCTGGTAATAGCTTCATTAATGCAAGTACAGTGAGATACTTAGATTTTGAAAGGTGGTTTAGTTGTAATCACTTAATCTAAATGTGGAGGTGTCTTTTGCTAACATGCAAGCAGAAGAGAAGCTCTTATGTCAATTCCAGGCTCAGCTTTGTGATCTTCTCAGGATACTTCAGGACACAGTGAAATATTGCGTGAAAAATCTCTTACACGTTTCCCTTCCTTTGGGGGGAGGTGTTACAGAAAGATTATGCTTAATAGATGGTCTAGGTGCTTAATAAATAATTTTGTGTATTTTATGTTTTAGGTGCATTTTACACTTCAAGAATCAATTTCAAGAATAGTCTGCACTGTAAGACTATTGTAGCTGTCTATTATAGCTGTTTTGGGTAGTTCTGTTTTCTTCAAACTGCAGATACAGTACCTAGTTTACAGCTTACTGCAGATACAGAAACTATTTTACAGTTTACAATTAATGCTTGTATTGCCATTGTCATCCTTGCAAAGTTGTATCTTCAAGATAAAGTGGCTACTTACTAGATCAGTTCTTCCAGAAATGGCAAGATCAAAAATCAGCTGGTAGGAAGAGAACAGGAAATAATTGTGTGTGTGTGTTTGTGAAAGTCTAAGTCTACTTTAGAGGAAACTGAACTGCAGTTTGCTATGCTTGCCCAAAGGCAGAGATGTCAAGGAGTCAACTCATATCTCAGGGCTAATTGCTACGTATCTGTTAGAGGTGATACCAGCTACCTGACTGAGACAAACCCTCTGGAGAATTGGTGCTAGTTGAGGCAATGGAGGCAGCAGTGCAGGAAAAAGCCTGCTGCTGGAATTCACTGCTGGTGAACTGAGTGAATTTTTTTCACATCACTTTGTACATCTCCATGGCGTCACTATGTGCGAATAAAAATTGAGAGGACTCCATTGATTTGTTTTAATTCAGAAAGAATATATGAAATCTTTTATCAGTTTAGGCTTTCATGAATTACTAAATTTCTTCTTACTTTTTTTCCATTGCAGTTTGAGTTCATTCAACTACAATATAAAATTCACTGCACCGGATATAAAAAAATGGCAAAAAACTGGATCACATTTTTGCTGTTCTTCTCATCAGTTACTATGGTGAGTCTTATGAATTTTTAAAATCACTTCCAGTTTTAACGAGTGTGTACAGAATACCATAGAAATTATTAATATGGAAATGCAGAAACAACTAATCTTGTGTTCAAATGTAGTTTCTGCACAGCAGGATCTTTATCTACCTTCTGTTCTCCTTTTAATTCCTGTGGTAAAGGAACAGAAATGGTATTTACCTCTGCTAGACCCAGCATATCCTTTGCTAGGAGAGAACTTTACAGCAGCAGTTGACAAGTGACATATAAGCAGTACTATGCAGGAAGAGTGGAGGAGACATCTAACTCAGGTTCAGAGGACATCCTCGGAACTTCTAATTTCACCCCTTGTATGACAGTAGTACCGTATTTCAATCTGCAGCTTTGTTTTTCCATGAAGTTTAGTAGCTTCCCATAAAAGATTTACCTTCTTTTAAAAATGCACTTAAAAGGTTCAGGTTTTGATCAAGATCCACTTTCTTAAGCTTGTTTTTTATTATTATTATTTTTAATAATTACAAAAGTGGATGTCATGTCTTTTGAATACCTTTTTGTATTCTGAGGGCTGACTTTGTGGTTCACAAGACTATAGAGAAACCAAATAGCTCTGAACAAGCCAAAAGCTTCAGTGCATATAATATATGGAAAGTCTCTTTTCATAAAGGATCATTTTGGGCCTGATTCAAATGCCTTTTAGACTAATGTAACTTTGATATATTTTACTGGATTTTGCAAAAGCTGTTTATATGCTTCTGACTGTCTCAGTGCTTTCTATGCATTTTTCCATTATTATTTACAAATCTTGCAGATTGTTACTCCCCCATGCTCATTCAGGAGATATTTGCCAAGATTCAGTAGTAAGAAGAATTGCTAAATTAACCAGAAAAAGACAAAATCCTATTGTCAGTAATAAGATTTGAAGATCATTTTCCTTCAGTAAAATAATATTTAAAATATAATATTTAAAAAGATTGACGTTTAAGAAGTTTATATGGGAGTTTGTACATGACTTGCTAAAAAAGAGTCTTTTTCCTCTTAGTTTGTTGCCACTGCTATACCGTCTGAAGGGCATCAGAATATGACGGAGGACTTCATTCAACTGAGTGTCACACGGAATAAAATTATGACAGCACAGTATGAATGCTACCAGAAAATTATGCAAGATCCTATTCATAGGAAAGAAGGTAGAGATTATTTTCTTATAAGGTTTTACAAAGGCAAATGGTCAACAGATATAATTACAGTAATTCAGGATCCTTTTTTATATTCATTTCTTGTCTTGGTAGCGATCATTTTTCAGGCTGTAAATGTATTTGTACAATTTTTTAGAAAAAAATTTAGAAAAAAATTTTCACTTTGGGATTCATGAAGCTAAAGTAATATGTTATGCTACCTGCCCGTAACACCACTTCTTATATAACACAAAGCTTTTATTTCTGCTGAGATATTAAAATGTTAATTTAAATAGATCTCCAGATTAAAAAATTGTGACTGATTAATCTTACCACTTTATTTCATTTCATGCTCTTATAGTACCTCTGTCTCCTTGGTCACATCTGCCTTTAAAAATTGAAAGTATCTTGATACACATAATTTTCCTGCTCTGAGGGTTGCGTTAGTGTCATTAATGCTTTTTTGGATAACTCGTTCAGAGCTAACCTCTGTAACTCTACCTGTTGCTGTATTCACTGTTTCTGACTTTATAACTTCTGGAAACATTGAATGGCTTTTGAGGCAAGAAGAGGTAACTGCATTCTTTTACAATGAGGTTTTTTTCTCTTCTGAAATGATTCTTTGGAGGAACTGAATGTCTGGAGGTCAGAAATGGATATGAGTACGACAGTGTAAGCTTATGTCCAGCCTGGGGCATCACAGCTTCAGAAGGATCTGGACAAATTGGAAAATCTTCAGATGAGAAGAGGAGGAATTACATGATGTTTGAAAAATGCAACCTTTGAGATGGGGGCCATTATTAAGTCTTAAAAAGAAAACTGAAGGAAGATACTAAAAACATCTTCAAATTTGTAGAGAGGCTCAGTCATTCTGCGTGCCTTTTGGGAAAGGATTTATTTATAAAACCCCAGCTCATTCTGAAGGGAGGTTTATTTTAGATGTTAAAATTTGTGTGAGTGCAATGAGGCATTGCAAGAGGCTCTTGAGGGACACTGGATTCTCTGTCCCCAGGGCACTTAGAGAAGTGTCTGTTGACAATGACTGCTGCAGGCTCAACTCTGCCCGAGGCAGAGGAGCTGTGACTGCCTCCCAGCCAGGCTTTCTGATGGCTTCTAGGATACCACTGTGTTTTCAATGAACCAGTAGACATATGTATAGGCTTGGTATACATCCAAAATGTAAATAAATTCAGTAAAATGGTCTTTGCAAGCTTAACGCTCTTTGTTAATGCGCATTATTTGATCTGAATTGATTTAGGTTTTTTTGCCTACCATGCTCTAGATCTGAGGTTCATAAATTGTAGGTGCAGACCATTTCAACATGCATGATGATGGATTTGAAAATGGGTTTGAGGAAATGTACAGATAAGGAACTATTTCTATTAAGTGGAGTTTTAATTAACTACTGCTAAATCCTATGTTTCTATTTTCTTTTTTCCTCATTGCTGCAATGAGAAACTTACTTCATGTAGTCTTACATCTTACTTTTGAAAGACTATTATGAAAGAAGGGTTGTTATTTTATTATCAGGTCTCTACTTGTTTGTAGGTCCTTACTGTAACAGGACGTGGGATGGCTGGTTGTGCTGGAGTGATGTTGCTGCCGGAACCGTGTCAGTACAGCGTTGTCCTGACTACTTTCAGGATTTCAACCCATCAGGTAAGTGTGCATGGGCTTCTACATCAACAGATTTCTTAATAAAATGAGGTTTTGGGTGCTTGATGCCTCCTGTTTTCCCCGCTCAAGTCACTAATGCTCCAGAATTTCAGTAACTCCAAACCCATTATTTCCATTTTCCCTTTATCACATAGAAAACTGATAAGTTACTTATTTTCTTTTCTGAAATATGTCCTTGAGGGATTCTGTAGATTAGGAAATATGAATTAAAGTTAGATCACAGTTTTTTTCCTCTTAGAGGTGAGCTTTTCTCTCTGACAGACAAGCAGAAATATGACTTATTCTTTTACCTCAATTTAGCAGCTGAAGTTGACAAGAGTTTCTCCCACAAGTGAATCTTTTGCTGTTTCTGTAGGCTAAACTTTGCATCTGTGAGCATGTGGAAAATGTCACAGATTTCCACTCTTGTCTCTTTCTGCTGCATTTGGTATTTCTCACGGTCCTTTCTTGCCTCTTTCTATTTGATGATAGAAATCATTATGCGGTCCCAGAAATTTTCCAGTTTGGTTTTTGAGCAGTTTCTCTATTGATATTTTCCTGCCTGCCCAATCCTAAGTTACAGTGGTAGGATGTCAGACTTCAGTTTAGATCTTGGATGTTAAACAAGCCATTTGAATATTCTTGTCACTTCATCTGGTAGTTCTCTAACAGTTAGTTTGATATATTTTGATACTTACTGGATTGGAGGAGGGAAATCTATTTGTTTTCTTAAGAAAAACACATCATCAGTTGCCCTTGCCGAACAAAAACAATGGCGTCTAGTTTCTCAGAATTCATGCAGTGTCTCTCTAGACATATTAATAAAGCTGCCATTTGTTTGCCAGTCTTTCCTCATTAAATACGAGGCATCAGGAAGTAGAACTTCAGTGCTGACTTGTGTTTTTCTTTTGTTTTTCTTTTTTGTTTTCCTTTCCATCTACTTTGACTGTAGAAAAAGTTACGAAGATCTGTGATCCAAGTGGGAATTGGTTTAGACACCCAGAAAGCAACAGGACGTGGACAAACTATACTCAGTGTAATATCTATACACATGAAAAAGTGAAGGTAGGAAAGGAATGAATGCATGTTACCAGTGTCAAGAAACTGATCTGAAAAATTTCACAAGTTTCAAAACTTGAATGGCAGCAGAGTTGACGCAACATCAAAAGGCAAAAAGAAGAAAGCACGTTGAATAAAAAGGATGAATTGTGCAAAACAGACTCAAAAAACCCCAACCCACCTGCTTTGTCTTTTACAGCTGACTTCAACTGCTTGAATAATATGATCATATTTTTGTTATGGATATTTTAAATGCGTAGGTACTAGTACTTGTATAGGTCACCCACAGTCACCTACTGGTAAGCAAAGTGTGTGCCTTGTAAGAGCAGACCTTTCTGTTTTGCTCTGTAATTTTGAAGTAGGGTCCGAGTTCAGCAGAACTGCAGGAAGTTTGCATGTCTGGAAGACGTGCTGAGTGCATCAGTTTATCCAGTTAACTCATAGTGACAGATTTTCAGCAGGTGCACAACCAAAGTTTTACTTGGGATTAATACATTTTCAAGGCAGCTTTAAGTAGAGTTCGGATGTTTTGGTTTTGTTGTTGGTTTTTTTTTTTCCCCCCAGTATGAAATGCAGAGCTAATCTTCTCTTTTTTACAAAAGTGTAGGCAAGCTGTAGTTGAGTGGATTCACCAAAGGATCTTCGGAGGCCAAAGGGAAGTAAATGATGAGAAGTGTTAGATGGGGTTTGGTTTTCCTTGTGATCCTTTTCCTGTGAGTGTCTTGTCTCCTGGCTTGCAAGTGCCATTTCTTCAGTTTCTGAGATATTAAGCTGCTCACATGAATGGAAAACCTATACTTCGATTTTATTTAAGTGAAATTTTGCAAGCATCCAAAATTATGTCAGGCTAGGCAGCAAAACACTTTGAGAGAGTTGTTTTCTATATATCACATGTAGAATCTATGCACACACATACCCGTATGGGTATATGTATAGATGGTATTTTTATAGACTTCAGTTTATCTTGAAGATGCCCATCCATTGACAGATTTAGAAAAATAAAAAAAAAAAAAAATCTGGTAAAACTCCAAATGCCCTCTTTCTGAGATACTGTGATTATGTGAGGATATAATGGGCAAAATTGCATATTTTATGTGCCCCCCCGCCCCCAAACTGTATGTCCACTAACATTCTTTACATTTCTGAAACATTCAGTCATGGGAAGAAACAGTAAGTTGAAACTTAGAACTAGGAATATAAAATGCAGGGTACACTGTAAATTAATTTAGACCTCATGGAAAAGAGCTCAATAATAGTAGATTGTGTCAAGAATACTGACATCTAGTATAGAACCTAACTGCCTGCATCGTTGCTGTCAAGAACGCTTTAGGGTATTTGCCTAGAAACCATATTGAGAAAAGGTGGTAATAGATTTTAATAAGGCACTTTGTATTGCTTTTTCTCAACTCCTGAGACATTGAATACGCTAATGGCAGTTTGACTCAACTAGCAGAGATGCTATAATTCATTGATTCTTGCTAATATTTGGCTGGAAACTGAGAGAATATTATTCAGACAGGAGCAGATCCATGCAGGTTCTTCTTTATGAATAATGAGCTAGTTTCCCTTAGACTGTTTTTCCAGCATATTTCAACTCTGTCATGCATCAGAAGCTATTGTTTAAATGGAATAATAGCTCTGAAGAAAGCCTTACTGCTTGCTACATTTCTATGTGTTGTTCTATTAAACAATGTTATCTTTTTACTTTGCTCGGAAGGTGGGTTAGATAATGCCTAATAAATGTGACTGTTGTCCCTTGTTCAGTTCTTATTGTTATTGCCCTCATCAGCAGTCCCTGCTGTACCACTGTTTCGTGCCAGTTCTAAATCGTGTGGAAATCTTCTAGATCCTTAACGTGCACCTTTGCTTAAATTGGTCACTGAATGAGGTGGTGCTACAGGATACAGACCTGTCATAGAAAGGCTGTCATTAGGTATACGTAGCCAAGCTTTAGCATTTCAGGGCTAACCCTTGTTTTTTCTCAATTCCACAGTTTTATGAAAGTTTTGCTTAAACCTATTGCATTGCTTTTTTTTTTTTTTAAATTTATATTATTTTTAAAAATAATGATAATTTGAAAAATTCTAGCCTTGACTCATCTTACAACCTTCTTAAAGCTTTACCTGGAATCTTTTTATATGATTTCAAAAGTCAATATACGTAGCAAGCTGCAGTTAGTCTATCTTAAATTGGAATAATAAGTTCAGAGGATACATACAGTTTGGAGTACACGAACATTTGTACGTATGCTTTAATTCTTCCTATGGAATCTAGGTAGTTTTGCTTTATTGTGACAGTATAGGGTTCAACCTGAAAATCTTCACTTCCTTATGTGCAAAATTATAATCTTACATTTGATGCAACAAGAGAAATTTTGTGAAGCAGATTCCATGACTGAAAGCAGCGGTTTGTTACTAGTGGAATTTAATATATTTATTAATTCAAAGAATTAATGATAACATGTTGTATATATTCCAAACATTAATTTACTAGGTCCTCATTTTCACCTTTTGTATCTACCCAGCTTTTCATAATTCTATAATTTCGCTGTAGGCTTATTTAAAAAGACTGTTTAGTCTTCATTATTTTTGAGTCATTGTTAATTTTTTTCACGCCCTTCCTTAAATGCCGAATGAAAACTAAATTTCCAGTATCATCATCTTTAAATGATACCAAAAAAACCTTCTATGAGGAAAAAAAAACATAAATTCATATAGGAAGCACATACGTTACTTGAAGATTTTTTTTAACGGATGAATCAAGCCTCAGACAGGAATGCACCCAGTGCAGTAGTATAAATAGCCTGATTTATGTAAATACACAGAAAAAATATAGCAGTATATATTAGAAACCTAATGTTTTAGATGATAAGAGGTAAGTTTTAGTGATGATTTCAGTGAATCTGTTGTGTGTCCTATAGAAAGAGATTTTACTAACGTTGATTTGCAGGATTCTACGCTCAACTCATCATTATCTGTAATGTTTTTACTTTCTTAATCCTAATATAGTCATTTTATATGCAGAAGAGATGTGTAAGTATGTGCTTTATCAACAAGAGTTCTGTATGCATCACAGGTGCTTGGTTTTGTTCTTGTATTGCAGACTGCTCTGAATTTGTATTACTTGGCCATCATCGGACATGGTCTTTCAATTGCATCACTTTTGATTTCTCTTGGCATATTCTTTTACTTTAAGTAAGTATATTTAAAACCCTTTACCAAGTATCAGTGGTTGCAACAATCCTAGCTTCAATACTTTGAAACACCAGCCATCCCAATGAAATTAGATGGAGCAAGAAGGTGAAGAAAGTCAGTATACTGGTTTGGCACTGAACATCATATTGTAAAAAAATTTTATGTTTCTTTGCTCAGAAACCTAAAATCCCAAATCTGCAAACCAAAAACTGTAGAAAATATTGAAAATAGAAAATGGGAAAATTTTTGTTTGTTTGTTTTGAGGTTTGTGGTTGATTGGTTGTTTAAATAATAAGTTACAGTGTGAATATGCCAAGCATCAACCAGACTAAAGAGTAAATGGAAACCAAAATACTGATGACATATGATAGGTACAGTAACATTCCAAAGTAGGTAGCCACAAAATATGATAAACTGTAAAGAAAGTAAGGCTAAGAGCTACAGGAGGAATGGGAATAATAAAAATAATCCTGTTTTTTTATTCATCTTTTTATGTGTATGACAGTTATATCCACTGACTAATAGTTATTATGTGACGTTCTCAAAAAAAAGTTTGAGCGGTGTATCAGCACTGTCACAACAGCTAGTAATATAATGCACAGGTCTTTTAAAATTCGTCTTCTTATTACTTCACATTTTGTGAACTTACTTTTCCTTCCCATGAGAGACTTTTTTTTTTTTTAAAAGAAGTTGATGAGGCTTACTAGAAAGGTGAAACCAGGAGTGTTGCCACATGAGTAGAGCTGAGAGAGATGAGTTGTTATCTCTGCCAACCATCACTGCATAGTGTAGGCTTTCCTTGTTAACTGGCACTAGTTTAATCATTTCTGCATCGTTTTTCATTGGATAACATAGATCTGCCCTAGGGTCTTACCTAGTTCTTACCACTATGCCCTGCTGTCTCACTCCACCTTGTATTTTTTCCTAACATTTAAATATCAATAGCGCATACACCAGCAACTGTGGGGGTAGCTCAGATTTTGCTTTTCTCATGCTCTGGAGTTTGATTAGGTAGTGGTAGCTGATATCTGATAAAAAATTATCCTTTTTAGTCACCTCTGGCTGAATATAGTGTTTCCAATTTAGATATGCATTATTTCCCCAAGTTCTGGGACATTTCCACAAATACCCAGCAAACCAGAATGTTTCAACTTTGTAGCCTCTCTTTATGAAATCCAATATTCAAGATGACTTTTCCACTTTTTCTGACTTCTTTTCATGAGGACAAACAAAACCATTTGTGTTTTTAATCAATTTATTTGCATATGACCTGTAAAAACAATGCTTACCGTTTCCAGGTTCACTTTTCCTCCACAAAATCAACATGTGAAATGGCTGAGTCCTTATAAGAAGCTTGATTTTGCATAAAAAAGGGCTATTCTGTTGCTATAAATGTCACAAGAAGTTTAACAGACTAAATATCTCATGTGACAGGAAAAATACTTTGACATAGACTTCTCAGGAGAAAACAAAAAGATTTGGAATACGATATGATTTTAAAAGTGGAGAGACAGTAAAGCAAGATTTTTCTGTGCTATAATACGAAAACCAAGCCAATTTCATCTTGGCTTGTGGCACTTGATGCAAAAGCAGGTGATCTGCTTTGCTACCATTATAACTATGTCGTGTTTGTCTAACCCTCGAGGGATTTTTTTTTTTTTTTTTTCTCCCTCTGGTAGAAGGATCATCTCTCCTCAGAGAACCACAGGAATTAATCCAGACCCACAAACCACATTTTCTAGACTGTGGTTATGTTGGGATATAAAAGGAAATTACAAAATTTAAAGGAAGCTAAAGAAAGTCCTCTACAAGCTGTTCTCTTGGGATGTACAGTTCCTTTAAAGTATTTTTAGTACCAGAAGGGTATTTAAGGATCTAGATTAATACCAGGATGTATTATGTATCAGCTGAAGCTTGTATAATTATTCATAGCTTTAACAGGTGGACTTTTTTCTTTCCTATTGTGTGTGGGTGCCTTCAAATTTGTCATGTTTCCAAAAAATTTATTCTCTTAGTCGATTGATAGTTTCCACATGACAGTTGCTGGATTGCTGACCATTAGAGTATCTTTAGGTTTGACTAGCAAGGTGGTACTTTTCTCCATAGGAAAAATGACGGGTTCTTTTCAAATCTCTTCAGCTTTCCAAATGTCACGTATTTGGATTTTGAATGATTTTTTTTTTTTTTAAGATTAAAAAGTTTTTGTGCATTTCATTTTTTCATTTGAAATTCTGGTTTTTCTTCAGAAAATTGTCTCATTGGAAATACTTGTCTGGTTTGTGACTTGTGTTCCCCAAGCAGTTTGGAGTTCTTGGTTTAATAGCATAAAGTGGGCTATAAACTTGGAACTCCAATCTTCCTCTCTGAAAATTCATTTATGACACATAAAAGTAACTTCTTGCAGTGGCTCTGCTTTCTCGTTCTGTTACATACTCCCGATCATACATGTGTTTATTATAAATCTTCTGTTAAAATAGTTCTATGGTTTTGGTAAAGAAAAGCAGGGCAAGAGAAAACTTAAAAAAAACAGTGAATTCAGAGAAAGGGGAGCTATAATTTGAAAGATGCCCCCCCTAACCCACAGAAAACCCAAAAGAAACAAAAAAAAACCCAAACCCTTGCCTGAGATAAAGGAGTTGTTTTTGATCAAGCATCATATCAAAGCACATGACAGCACTCTCAGAGGACAGCAACACTATGCTTAAAGAGTGGGCAAAAACCAGAATCATTGATTGATAGAGAGATAGGAGGTTCTTAAGTCACTTTAAGTTAATTTAAGCTGAATGGATAATTCCCCTTAGGTGCATATGTGGATCTTGCTGGTTGAATTTTGCAGTATTTGAATACCTTAAAAAATAAGATTTCAAACACATCTGGGGGCTTTTGAAAATGTTACCTTTTTTCTTTTGGAGAAGTATTGGAGAAATGAATTTCTCCCTAATGCCCAAGACATACAGGAGTCAAAATAGCAAGGGAAATAGGTAATTTAGCAGGAGGTCTGTTTTTATTTTACTGCATATGGTTTAATCTAGGGGTAGGTCATTCAAATGTTCTTAGCTCATAATTATGAGAATTAAGTGATTAAAGGATATTATGTCATTAAAAAAACAGTCAGAAAAAGGAATATAGGAAGGGTAACAGAAGAGGGAGGGTGGGGAGGCTTAGGAAAAAATCCTTTTATTACCAAAAGCAGCTTTCATTTTTAAAAGTCATCAGTCTTGCTTTCTTGTTTCTTGTCCGGTGATCCTTTCAGCCCTTTTATGCATGGGTGGAGGTGGGTGTGGATGGGTGTGTTTGAATATTCAACAGGAACAGCTGCTGGATGACCCTGAGAGATGGCCCCATTAGCTGTACGTGCTTTTCCTTGCCTGTGCATTGAAGCTTAACAATAAGCAGACAGAATTCCAGAGTTCTTCAGGACTTGTTTACACAAAGCTCTTAGCTGGAATCTAGTGTTGCCTCTCTTCTCATACATAAACCATATAGGAAAAAAAAAAAAAACAAACATCTAAAAATACATTTTCAAAGACCATAAAAAACTGCATATTATAATAATCAAAGCTTTATGTGTTTTAGGCATTAAAACGAAAAGACAAAAATAAAATTTCCAGAAGCCTAATGGAATATATTTTATCACTTAATTCATATCCAAACCTGTGTTCTGTATTTTGGACACTTTTTCTTTTGTTTTCAGTCAAATAACACTTGGCAACCAGAGGTTCATGTAGGGTAGTTCCTTGTGCTGCATGGCAGCACTGGTTTCTAAAGTGATTTCCGATTTCGTGATATGAGTCTCAGGGCTCCAAGGCTTGACTTGCAGAAACTCCGCCTGATTTTGCAGTATTGCGCAGTATTGCACAGTATTGCACCGTGCATATCTGAACCTGTTCACTTACTCCATGTATCTGTGGGGTACTTCATACACTCTTCTTGTGATACTTGCAAAGAACGCAACCAAGAAATGCAGTTTCCTTTATAGCCAGTCTTTTTGGACCGTCTCTCTTGTTCAGTGGGGTCATTTTGTTTCTTGTTTCATCTGTCATGTTCTCAACAATTTTCAATATGCTCCTCCAGCTTTTGTGACTATTCCATATCTGCATTTCTCTGTGAAAATATAAAGTTGTTCTCCCTCCTGTGCTCCCAAATTACAAATGAATCACCAATGTCCATACTTTATCTTTTCTTCCCGGGATTTGAAAAGGCTAGAAAACTTGATTTTTTTTTTCCCCTGTGTGACAATTTAGGCTTGTCCCCTGCTGACCTTGTCAATGTATTTCACTCTAACAGTGAAGAGCAGTGTAAGTGATAGATTTTCCTCCTCCGGTTAGTCATTTCATCAATCAGCTGCACTCCGTATTGCTGGCTATAAAATGGAGGCAGGTAGGTGTGGTTATAAAGCACAGACTCTTCACAGCACAGGCTTCGGTAGATGCTTCCTCCGAAGTAACCAAAGAGCGTTTCCTGAGAGTGACCACAGTACCACAGTCTTTATCACTTCTCTTTGCATGTGGGAGATGTTTCTCTGAGCAATGCTCACCCTGCAGAACGGGGCTCTGCTCCTGACTGCCGGCGCTGACATGCTGTATGACCCTGATTGAGTCAGTTTGCTCATGTGCTGCGCACCCCCTAACTTAAATCTAAAAGAATCATTTTTACCCAACTTTGTAAACTGATTATCTGCTTTCATAACAAAACTGATGTTTCTTGCTCTTTCAGGAATTTTGAGCATTAAGCCTTAATATCCCAATGATCTGAATTGTTTATATATCCATATAGGCTTTCTGTCTTCCTTTGTGTTTGTCTGTAAAGTCAGATTTCTTTGGAAAGACTTGAATGAGAAGCACTCCTGCCTCTTGGAATGGCACTAAGTTAGACCTGCTTTCTCTAGAATGGCAGATAAACAGAAATTTGCTGCGACTGTGTTCAACTTCTAGTATTACTTAATATTATTGAACCTCTGTTTAAAAAAAAAGAAAGTCCTTCCGAAGATATTTTTCTCTTCAATTCTATTGCAAGATTAAAATCAAACCTTGAAAATTAACATAATTAAATGCAGTTATTATTCCTTTTTTGTAATTGTATTCTATGTACTGTTTATAACTTAGTTATATAAAAAAGTCAAGATAAGATTTGAGTTATTTTACTTATTTGGGTATTTCTCTAGCTATAGGGCTAAGGAAGAAAAATTAACAGAATATGAGTAAAAGATAATTATCCTCAAAAAATTTTAACAGGTTTGGGTAGATGGAAATGTAGGGTAAGACAGCTTCTTCAAGCTCAGGTATGATAGTTAGTTGGGAAATTCTTCAGGTACTAACAAAAAAAAAAGTATAAATATTCTGAAGCATGTTATATTATTGCTATTCAGATCTTTTTTAGGTAGCCACTACAAAGCAGGTCCTTCACTGTAAACATATTGGAACTGAATGTACTTGCTTTGCCTCCTGTTGGTGTTTAAGGGAAGGTGTTACCTTTCACATCATTCTATTATATTTGGACTGGAGCTGGAGAAAGGGTTGATGTAAGACTTCTTAATAAAATAAAGAGCTCCAGTATTTCAAAATTTCACAGTTGTCCCCAAGTACACACAGTTGTCCCCCCGTGTATTCATTTGTTCTTGTTTCTCTCTTCTAGGAGCTTGAGTTGCCAAAGGATTACCCTGCATAAAAATCTGTTTTTCTCTTTTGTTTGCAACTCTGTTGTAACAATAATTTCACTGACTGCAGTTGCCAACAATCAGGAGTTAGTTGCAACTAATCCAGTAAGTGAAAGTGTATTTGGCAGCCTTGTTGATTTATATGTGAAAAACTTCAGCAACACAGAAGAGATAAATGCGACGTGAATAGTTGATGAAATGTATATAGCGAGGTTAAAATGTTCAGTAACGATGTATCCATGTTACGTATTACAACAGATGTCTAATGATGACTTGGGCATTTCACATTTCAGGTTTCGAAACAGTAAAAACACTAAGAGACAGAGCATGCTGAACTGCTCTTCTGAATTTGTACAAATCACTTTTGCATTGAAACAACTGCAAGAAAATAGCCTATTCTAGATGATGTCAGTGAGCTTATGACAGTTGAATTCACCAAGGAAGGGCAATACAAAAAGGTTCGGAGTGTATTTTGGATGTCAGCTACTTTCCTATGGCTTTAACTTTGCCATCTTCAGTTGAAATGAGAAGAATTTTTTTTTTTTTTTTTGTGAAGGGAGATAAAGCTGACCCTTATATTCCAAAAGTAAAAAGCAAAATAAAAAAAACATCCATTTGGCTCTGGTTTTTCTCTCTCTCTCATTTCCTGATAATACTGGGGTAAGTGTGAATCAGTAGGCTCTCCCAAAAGGCTAGGAGTTATAGCAACGGAAGAGCCTGAAAATGAAATACATAAACAAACAAATCCCTAACTATGGCTTTATTTTTATTTAGACCTGGAAGATAACTTTAAATTCTGTGAAAGTTAGGGCAAAACTCCAGAAGCTGAATCAAGTAAAAAGACAAATTCCCTTTCTCCTGTAAAAGCTCATCAAAGTGCTGGAAAATAGGCTTGAGATAGCTGCTAATAGTCATCATCAAGTGAGTTAGGTAAAACAATATTGATTTTTGGTTTGTTTTAAGCAAAGAGCCAGAAATAGATCAAACACACAGCAATTTCAGAAGGAGGAAAAAAAAACCTGTGTCCAAATCTGCAGATTACCTATTGCTCTTTATTCACAACCTCACATTTTAGTCTGCACAATAAGTTATAATGTAATATTTCAATTGAAGAATATCTTTTGAAAGAAGCTAAATACAAATATATGCCAACAAGAGGGCTTCCTTCCAGAACCTGCTATGCAAGTTCTCAACTGGCCCTAAGTGCAGTTCTGACTAGGTTAAAATTGGAAGTGCCGTAAGCATTTTAAAAACATAAATTGTTCTCTGGAGTAGTTACATATTGTGATGGGTAAAACCGAGAGGGGATCACCCTCACCAAAGTACGTTTTCTTGTGTAGTTACCATCAGATAATTTAAGGATTCCCTATTGTGTGGCAATGTTTGCAATACGGGAAAATATCCTTACAGCTTTCTGCCATCATGCTTGAGGATCTCGAGGTCCTCATGTCTGCGTAATAAAAATACAGACTCAGTTACTAACTTTTTTGTCACCATAAAGTATGGAATTGTAATTCCATGAAAATTCTATTAAAAAAAAAGTAATTGTACTGAAAAACAGAATAAACATGAACATTTGACTGGAGCAGTATTTTTTTCCATTTTGTAAATAAAGCTCTGAGATTTTTGCAACAAAAAATTTATATTGTATTCTGCTTTTTTCTACAGGTTAGTTGCAAAGTGTCACAGTTCATCTACCTGTACCTAATGGGTTGCAACTACTTTTGGATGCTGTGTGAAGGCATTTACCTGCATACTCTCATTGTGGTGGCTGTCTTTGCTGAGAAACAACACTTGATGTGGTATTACCTTCTTGGCTGGGGTATGCAACTTCACGTGCTATATTTTCAGGCCAATGCAATCTCTTACTCCTTTTCAAGAGAATTTGAACATCTGTCCCTTTGCTTCTCTGAGCTGCTAGCTTTGAACAACGATGACACACCGCTC